ATATATATATATATTGAATCCAAGTTAACCTGATTGGCTGTTCTCCTAATTTTTTAAACTTTTTATATATATATATATATATATATATATATATATATATATATATATATATATATATATATATCCACATTTGACCATGAGGCACAGGTTTGAATCTCACCATGGTCGATATGCGGCACCTTTGCCTGAAAAACCATACCACGGCCATGAGTTGACCAATGCCTTGTGAGTGAAATTGGGTAAAAGGAACTCTTGGGCGCCGTCGAAAGCTACAAGTCATTGTCGCCGAGGGTTTGAGCGTGCTGGCCTTGTTCAAATTGTTGATCACGCTAGGTAACACGCTCCCTCCGAGAAAATGTAACTAAAGCCTGCTCATCATACAAGTGGGCTCTGTTGGTTTTGAGCAAACACAAATGTGTCTGCAACAGGGATTGGCTAACCACCCTAGTAGACGGGTGTCATCAAATACGACTGCTCAGCTATTTTTTTTTTATATGTACGTATGTATAAAGAACTAAAAAAATATTTTTCATTCGAGCTCTGTGAAGTCGTTTTATGCAGGACGATACGCGTATAGTTGAATTAACTTTAAATTCTGTTCTCAACATTTCCATGATATAGCAACAAAAAAAAAAAAACTCATCTACTATATTGACAACACCCAGTTCTTGTTAATGACTGAGATACTCGAATTTACATGAACCAAAACTGACGAAAAACATGAATTTTAGACATTTTAATAGTCTTGTTACTTGAATTTTATAGAACCGGTTTAAATGGATTCTTCTTACTTAAATATAATATATGCTGAAAATAGTAGTAATTTTTAAAACTATTTTTTCTTTTGTTATTCGAATATCTTCAGTTTTTTATTCGGACTTACTATCAAGCCAATTGGTACTTTTCATCCTAGGATCTTTTTAATGTTTCAGTAATGATTATTAATGCCTTTTGGAAAAGTCAGTCATTTATTGTCGGACGAGATAATCAATCGATATGTCTGGCAAAAGATAAATTAATATTCGACTCTATTAAATTATTTAATTCTGTTATCATTTATTTTGACGAAGGCACTTAAGCAAACATTTCTCGATCAATAGCAACTATAATCGTATTATTATAGCGATGCTGACCAAGTTAATGATATACGACGCAACCAGTCTCTCAGCGCTTGCAAATACGTTGCTGTTATGTACAAATTTGTATTAGAAATATATATATATATATATATATATATATATATATATATATATATATATATATATATATATATCAGTTTAAAGTGCCGAGACAAATACTGATATTGGCTTATAAATTATGCCAACGGGCATTCGCATCGGTCCTTTTTTTATCATTGTTCCAATCAATGGATATTGTAGTCACCGTAGAATTGTCTGGGGGCCCGAGACAAATCATTATTATTCCTCAAGGAATTAATTTGATTGCTATACTCATTTCGAAGGCTTTTTAAAAGCATAAATATATAACTTCCACAACGTAACCATGAGTTAAATAGCAGAAAGGACTGGGATCTCAAGTCTTTGCAGACAGTGAAGTTCTTAATTGGCACTACATCAGTTTGTTGTTTTTCTTTAGCGGCATATCAACACCTCTATGGGTTATTTCACGCCGAAATCTAAATATTTTGTATGCTATCTTTTGTTAAATAATAATGCTTTTAGGTATACATATCTTACTAATTAACCCATAGTTGGAGGAGAAGATGGGGATTCCTACCTTTCCCAAGGGTATGCTGCGTGTAATTGAATATAAGTAACTTAACTATAATTGGAACTCGGCTGTCCGATTAACAATTCCATGCCCTTATCCATTACACCACCCGCACACCTTCTAAGCTTACAGCACATTGTATTCTCGGGCGGTCACCTATCTAGGTACTGACCAGGCTCGAAGTTGCTTAACTTTGATGATCGTACGGGACTCTAGCAGGAATGCCCCTGATCGGAAGTTTGTGGGTTTTGAGGAGAATAGAACCACCTTTAATTGCTGTTGTTACTGGGTCCACCCTGACCCGTGGTGTTAGCACCTGTTGAGGTCCCAACTATGGTGAACCTTGAAACAAAGACAAAATGCTATGAAAGTATAAAAATGTATTTTTTATGTAAAAAAAAATTACCAACAATAAATATTTATAGTAAAATTACCAATAATACATGGAGAATAACCACTAATACATTTTATAGTAAAATTACCAGCAATACATTTGTTCAAGGCTTAGCGTGGCATTTTTCTTTTGTTTCGCCTTTGCTGAAGGAATAATATTATTTTTTTTTAATCTTTAGATTTCGACATTAAATAATCCATAGAGGTTGATATGATGCTAAACAATCACCCAACCAAAATGAAAGAACTCTTTCATCACATAAATTCATATAACATCCTACAATTTCTTAAAGAAATCAAACTGTATTCAAAGAAATACCTTCAACAAAACTACAGCATAAAACACACATATCACCACCGCTATTAGTTATGTCTAAACAAACATGTATATGCACAGAAGCTATCATCTACCATGTATACAGTTGCGTAAGCAGAATAATATATATCATATTTGTATTACTTCAAAGCTCTTAAGAAAATTAAATTTCTGTATCAAATAGCCCATAAGGAGTTGATATTTTGTTAAACAAACAACACACACACACACACACACACACATATATATATATATATATATATATATATATATATATATATATATATATATATACATACATAATATTGTTTTATCCCAGATTTAAACACAGTAATATAAACAATTAATGATTTTTTAAATTGTTTAAACACGATCTTCCAACGTCCTTATTTCGCCATGTGCCAGATAGGGTAAGTACAGTAAAAGCAAATAGAGACTGCCTCTAGGCTAAAAGAGAGGTGTAGATGTATATGCATTAAATAACCTACAGAGGTTGGTATGCCGCTAAATAAAATCAACCAAACAAGATGAAAGAACTCGTTCATGGCATTAATCCATATAATATCGTACAATTTCTTAAATCAAACTGCATTACAAAATATAACTTCAACAAAACTACAACATAAGACACACATACCACTGCCCCTAGAAATCATGTCTCACAAACATATATATGCACAAGAGCGGAGTATCATCTACCATGTATTCGACTGTGAAAGCAGAATAACATATATTTTTATTACTTCAAAGTTTATCAAAAATGAAGAAGACATCTCTTTTGCATATTTTGTGATTTTTTTTTACTGTTTTTAAAACTAAATTAAGTTCATTAAGGCCACTGATTGGGAAGATTGGTGTTTTTGAAGAACAGAACCACCTCTTAATTACTGTTGTTCTTTGACCCGGGGTGGCAGTATCCGTTAGGGTCCCAGTTATGGGCAAATAGTGAAAACGATAACAATATTATACAAATGTGAAACTTACGATCGAAGAATGGCATCAAAAACTAAAACAAAAAACAAGGAAAGATGAAGTAATAATGTCCAGACTTCATATTGAACACTCCACAATAAAACACTCTTATATTATAAAACAAAAACCGTCTTCAATCTGTACGGCTTGTCAAAAGCTATACGCAATAAAACACATGCTATCAAATTGTAGCGACTTAACCTAAATCTGTTTAAAAAATTACCAAACAACCAATATGAAAGAACTCTTTCATAATATTAATTCATATATCCGGCAATTTCGTAAGGAAAACAAACTGCATTCGAAAATATAACTTCAACAAAATTAGAACATAAAATCCATATATCCCTAGTAATCATGTCTCTACAAACATGTATACAGACAAAAGCTGAGTATCATCTACCATGTATTCGACTGTGAAAGCAGAACAACATATATTTTTATATCTTCAGAATTTATCGAAAATGTCTTTTACATTTTTGGTGATTATTTTTCTGCTTTTAAATCTAAATTAATTTCATTAAGGCCTCTGATTGGGAAGATTGGTGTTTTTAAGGAGCATAGAACCACCTCTTAATTACTGTTGTTCCCTGATCCAGGGTGGTAGCACCTGTTAGGGTCCTATATATGGGCAAATAGTGAAAACAAAAACAAAACATTATAAAAGCATAAAAATGAAGTTTTCTAGAATGAACAACAAAACATTTTATCTCTAGTTGAAGGTATACAATTAAGTTAAAAAAATATTCTTAGTTGAAGCCATAAAACTGTGTTCAAAAGATTTAAATAACCTACAAAGGTTGATATGCCGCTAAACAAAATCAACCAACATAAAGAAGTCTTTCATGATATTAATCCATATAATATCCTACAATTTCTTAAAGAAATCAAACTGTATTTCAAAATATAACTTCAACAAAACTACAACATAAAACACATTATATCACCGCCTCTTGTAATTATGACCGCACAAATATGTACATGCACAAAAGCTGAGCATCATTTACCATGTATTCAATTGTGAAAGCAGAATAACATATATCATAATTTTATTGCTTCAAAGCTCACAAGAAAATTAACTTTAGGCATTAAATGACCCATCTTCTTTCTTTCTATGCGCTGTGTCCTTTCAGGGCTTAGGCGATCATGGCTCTCCACTCCCCTTCATCCCTTTCAGCACTCAACAAGTTCCGTCTTTCTGCCGCCTCATCCAGATCACGCTCTGTTATCCACTTACTTAAGCAAGATAGGTATATCATGTGATGTTTTACCTTCTCTCTTTTCCCTCAATTCGACCTGTGAGTATTAGATTCTCCCAGACCCTCTTTCCTCGTTATGTGTCCCGGGAACTTCAGTTGCCTCTTGCTGATGTTAAGTATAAAACTCCTCCTTGTTTGCATCCTCACTAAGACCTCATCGTTGCCCACACGCTTAGTCCACAATATCCTCAGCATCCTTCTGCAGAACCACATCTCCGTCATCTCGAGTCACTTCTCTATCTTTGAGCAGATCGTCCAACATTCGCTGCCGTAAAGTATTCTTTTCTTCGTTACCAAAGAAATCCTCCAGTCTCGCAATACTCTTTCTAGGTTTTGGGGTGCAATCAAACCTTTCCTAGATATTTAAACTTCCGCGCCAGCTTGCTTTTAGAATCACCGACCTGCAAATCGCATTTCGGGCTCATCCTCTTACTGATGACCATGCATTCTGTCTTCTTGTAGTTTATGCTTAGTCCCTTTTTCTCGCTATCCTTCGCTACCTTCTGTAGGAGATTTTGTAATTTCTATTCCGTGTATCCTAACAAACATATTAAATAAAAAAGAAATATTGACTGAAAACCACTCTAGAAGGGAAATTCTGAATTCTTGTTCGGCAACAGCGTTAAAAGGGAAATCATGATCGAGGCATCAGAAAACATGTCCATTATTCTTATTTTAATTTCTTGGATGAGGGCTCATTATTTACATTATTTACACTCGGATTCTTGCCTTAATCTTTGTTTTTATTATCAAAACGCTTCGACAGTAGTGCCCACCGGCTTTCATCGGGTGCTTGCGAGCCGAAACTTTGTAAAAATAACAACAAATAAAACAATAGCCCCAGTGTTACAAGAGCCAGATCAGGACAAAAATGGAGTTTTTGATCACATAACTGGATTGGATCTGCCCAATATTCCCTTTGCAGTCTTGACAGAGTTTAAAAACGTCTATTCTTCACCCCCATTTCCCACAGATCAAACGTTGCAAGCCCCTCGCTAGTCAATCGCTATTTCCATGGAGAATGTTCAAACGAGCTACATTAATTAGTTCCACCAACTCTAACACCCCACGGCCTATGACCTGTTACGTCGCCTAGATTCAGTCGAACTGCTCACATTTCCTTCTTTTGCGTTGTGAGCCGAAATGCTGTATAAATAATAACTAAGAAGAAAACGCATCTATGTTCTTAAAGGATATGGCATTTTTTAATCAATATTTTCAAAGATGAACTGTCTTTTACTTTTATAATAATAGTTTTCATCAGGAAGAGATAGCTGAAATTTCTGGTACACGTAATGAGAAAGGACGGCTTGGAGAATATGATAGTCACAGGTCAAATAGAAGGAAAGAGAGACAAAAAAAAGTACCGCATAACATACCTAGCGGACTTAAGCAAGTGGATGACAGATCAGGGCCTGGGGAAAGGGACAAAACTTATTGAGAATTACAAGGGATAGAAGGAAGTGCAGAGCCATAATCTCCTAGTTCCTGAAGGGAGACGTTACATAAAAAGAAAAAAGATACAAATCTTACTAATTAATCCATATCTGGGGGACTAGAGGAGGCGGATTCATGTAAAGTGACAACTAGGTATAAGCGGAGTATTAAAAAACACTTAATAATGGGGAATTTCATTCAGTCAGTTATGTGGCATGAGTGATACACGCTTATGCGATTATGTATCTTTCGATACATGACTGACGAGGCAGATATTTTCCAGCAGTAAACCAGTTACCATCCAAGGCTACAGAACTCGGTGATCTCTTCAAATTGGAACACGGCTCTCCGATTAAGAATTCCTTGCCATTAACCATTATACCACCCACACATTCAAGCTTACAGCACATGGTATTCCCAAGCGGTCATCCATCTAAGTATTGACCCGGCTCAACGTTGATTAACTTCGGTAATTGTAGTGGAACCGATGATTCAACGTGATGTGGCTGTAAGTCAAGAGTTTTTGAGTAATTCTTGATATTTACGTTTTCCATTGAAATTATTGAGGAATCGGAGAGCCGAGTTCGAATTCCACTCGAATCCATTACATTCAATTACGTGCTAATACCCTTGGGAGAGGTATGAATCCTCTTCTTCTCCCCACAGCTATGGGTAAATAGCAGTATAGAACGGGTTCTATAGCCTTGGATGGTAACTGGTCTACCGCAGAAAGAAATGGCAACCTACTGCGGGAAAATATCTGCCTCGTCAGTCATGCATCGAAAGATACATGATCGTCTAAACGTGTATCACACATAGCACTTAACTGACTGACTGAGGTGCTAATACCCTTGGGAAAGGTATGAATTCTCTTCTTTCCCCCCAGTTATGGGTAAATAGCAGGACAGACTGGGTTCTATAGCTTTGGATGGTAACTGGTCTACCGCAGAAAGAAATGGTAACCTACTGCAGGAAAAATATCTGCTGCGTCAGTCATGATCGAAAGATATGTGATCGCCTAAACGTGTATCACCCATGGCACATAACTGAATTGTTACATTCTTAGTCCATGTCTATGCAGTGTTTGTATTCACTCTTGGGATTGGTGAAAATTTCCACCTACTTGCCTCACAGGCTACACTTGTAAGAATCCAATTTGTGGTAGATGCTCTTCCGGAAAGAATTATTCAGGGCTCAGCCTTGTAAAGCTGCCAGTAATCATTTGTATTTAGAGACTCACATCAAATATCTAGTGTTTATGGCCCAAAACTGAATGACAGCAAATCTCAGATTTCGCCAACTTTCTCGCCGCAGTAGTAGTCTCCTTCAAATCTCTAACTCAACCAATATCGATACTAGTGTTATGAAAAGCCCTAACTATAGTGGGAACGTTACTTGTCATACTTTTCAAGAGGTTTCTCAGTTTGCGGACGAAGTCCTAGTATTTTCCTCGAAAGGTCATGAATCATAAACTGTATAATATAGATTAAATATTTTATAATTCTTACGAAGGAGTATAATTGGTCACATTCCCAATCCAGGAGATGATGGCAATTTTAAAGATAACATTTTTATTTATGTATTTTCTAAGTCGAATTACTTGACTTCCTTTCTTGTTTTATTTTTACGCGGAGAAAAACCATTGTTTATATATATATATATATATATATATATATATATATATATATATATATATATATATGTGAAAAGTGTTTGTATATTAATATAAATAAATATATATATGTATAATTATTTATATATTATATGCGGTACTTACTTACTTATCTATCAACCAAATATATATATATATATATATATATATATATATATATATATATATATATATATATATATATATATATATAAAACAGAAACGTGACCAATTTTATAACAAGAATACAATTATTTATAATAAAAAAAACAAACAGGATTTCATTCTCTTTGCCAGAAAAATGGATCTTTTCTGCATGTAGGCATTTGCCTTATTAAGGGTTATTCAGACATCATAGTTCTAAAAGCTCCTACCGTTTTTAGAATTTTAAAACATCATTTTTAATAATAATAATAATAATATTTATTATTTATTATTATTATTATTATTATTATTATTATTATTTTCTTTGATTTCTGGCGTTTGCAAATTTCTTTCCGGGTCCCGCCCAGGGACCTAAGGTTAGAAATGGCGTCATGACACTTTCCACTGACAAAAAAAAAAAAATTAAATTACATAGATAAAGCCCTTCGTAAGGTGTGGGCTGTACTTGTCAGAACAATTTTTGTATCTTCTTGAGGCATGGACTTCCAGGAATCCCTTCAATTAGTCTACTGCAATCTTTTCCAACCAGTCCAAGGGCTCCAACTACAACAGGGATTGTTGATGTTCCCATATGCCACATTTTTGAGATTTCTATTTCAAGGTCCTTGTATTTTGACAGCTTTTTGAATATCTTCAAAGATACATTGCAGTCGGCAGGGACTGCTATATCAATAAGGAGGCACCGTTTTTGTTTGTGGTCTTTAATAACAATATCTGGCCGGTTGGCCTTGATTGTTTTGTCAGTGTGTATTGTGTAGTCCCATAGAATTGTAACAGGTCCTATCTCCGTAACCGGGTCTGGGTGGTGTTCATACCAGTTTCTTTCAGTTTTCTTCCCGTAGAAGTTGCAGATTTTTCCAGTGCAGATATTGGCCCACTCTGTCATGTCGGGTTTTATATTCAGTGGGTGCTAACACCGTGCAACCTGATACAAGATGATCAATCGTTTCTGGATATTTATCACAGAATCTGCATTTTGGGCTGACACAATATTTTAGTATATGTGCTTGATAATTCCTAATTAGCAAGCATTGGTCCTGTGCAGCAAGGATAAAACCTTCAGTTTCCGCTTTCAACCCTGCACTACGTAGCCACTGATGGGTACGGGTTTTGTCTACGTCAGCTTGTTTGGTACGGGGAGAGTATTGGCCATGAAGCGGTTTATCTTGCCATCGCTTCTGTAACTGGTCGGTTGCATTCGTCTTAGCTGTCTTTTTTAGGTATTTTGCAGTTTCAGCCGGTGTATTGTTATTATCATAATTATTATTATTATTTTTTATTTCCTTTGATTTTTGGCGTTTACACATTTCTTTCCGGGTCCCGCCCAGAGACCTATGGTTAGAAATGGCATCATGACACTTTCCACTAACAAAAAAAAAACATTTACATAGATAAAACCCTTCGTAAAGTGTGGGCTGTACTTGTCAGAATAATTTTTTGTATCTCCTTGAGGCATGTACTTCCAGGAATCCGCTCAATTAGTCTACTGCAACCTTTTCCAACCAATCCGAGGGCTCCAACTACAACAGGGATTGATGATGTTCCCATGTGCCAAATTTTTGAGATTTCTATTTTTATCATTATTATTATTATTATTATTTATTATTATCATTATTATTATTATGTTGCATACTATTGTGGTAAATGCTCTTCCGGAAAGAATTAGTATTCAGGGCTTGGCCTTGGATGGCTGCCAATAATCATTTGTATTTACAGGTTCACAACAAATATCTAGTGTTTATGGCCAAAAACTGACTGACAGCAAATCTCCGCTGATTTCGGCTTCTTTCTCGCCATAGTATTATCGATACTAGTGTTGTGGGTACGGTAACAAAAGCTCCAACTATAGTTGGAACGACTCTTATAATTTTCAAGAGGTTATCTCAGTTTCCGGGCGATGTCCTGGTATTTTAATCGATTTGTCGTTTATCTTCATTTTCACCCTCAGGTCGGCTGATTGTTATCGTGATCATTATTGATGCTGTTGTTGTTGTTGTTGTTGTTGTTGTCCTTGTCTGACATTCTAACAAATGTCTTTCCTGTTTTTTAGTTATTGCCAAAACGGGGTTGGCTGTTTGCGATCAGAACATTTAGTCGGCATGGTTTCTCATGGTTTAAGCTTTTCTAATATCATTCCTCGAGACGTGCGCAAAATTGAATATTGACTGAAAAGTGTGAAAAATGAGAGGTGAATTATAAAAGGTCAATACGATTGTCCAATATTCGGTAATATTAAGTGCGAGAATTCCATAATAAAAGCAGTGACGTATCCTCAGTCAGTGACTCTTTGACTAAAAGATTTTCTTTTATGCAGTCTGCGAAATCGAGTTAATGCTATCTACTGATCGAATCGTTCTTTTGGGAAAGCAAGTTATACTCGTTGAAGAAGAAGAAGAAGAAGAAGAAGAAGAAGAAGAAGAAGAAGAAGAAGAAGAAGAAATATTATTATTATTAGACGAAGAAGAAAAAGTAATATTATTATTAGAAGAAGAAAAAAGTATTATTATTATTATTATTATTATTATTATTAGAAGAAGAAGAAGAAGAAAAAGAAAAAGTAATATTATTATTATTATTATTATTATTATTATTATTATTATTATAAGAAGAAGAAGAAGAAGAAGAAGAAGAAGAAGAAGAAGAAGAAGAAGAAGAAGAAGAAGAAGAAGAATTTAAAGAAGAAGAAGAAGAAGCGGAGGCGGGGGAGAAGGAGAGAAAGAAGCGGATGAGAAAAATTGAAAAGTAATATTATTATTATTATTATTATTATTATTATTATTATTATTATAAGAAGAAGAAGAAGACGAAAAAAAAAAAGTAATATTATTATTATTAGACGAAGAAGAAAAAGTAATATTATTATTATTAGTCGAAAAAAAAAAAGTAATATTATTATTATTAGACGAAGAAGAAAAAATAATATTATTACTATTATTATTATTATTATTATAAGAAGAAGAAGAAGAAGAAGAAGAAGAAGAATTGAAAGAAGAAGAAGAAGCGGAGGCGGAGGAGAAGGAGAGAAAGAAGCGGATGAGAAAAATTGAAAAGAAAATACAGGTAGAAAGAAAGAAAGAAAGAAAGAAAGAAAGAAGTATCTGACTCCTCATGGTATCCTCTACATTTACAAGAGCCAGATCAGGCTGAAAATGGAATACTGTTTTCATATTTGGACAGGAACTGCCCAGTCGCCACTTTCCAGTCTTCATAGAGTTCAAAAGCGTCTTCGAGTCCTTGCTGAAGTAGAATTCTTTTCCTAACTCCAACCCTCCCCCTCGCAAAGGCGGCTTGTGGCGAGTCTTTCGCTGTTTTATTGCTTCTACCATGGAAAGTGCTCAGACGAACTGTATTCCTTTGTTCCGCCAGCTTTAACATTCACAGCTAGGACTCGCCATGCCACTTACATAGCAGCAAACCACTTACATTCCTTCCGTATTCCATTGCTGAGAAGTGCTCTCTGAGGGGATGTTTACCCGATCACTACAATCTTAACCAGTTCAAGTCTAGAGTCAACCGTTATCTTCCCCTCCTATTCATATAAAGTAACATTTAACGTAACTCTCTATAGTGGCCCGGGACTTGTACAGGATGGACTTTATTATAAAAAAACAAATGTACAGTATGAAGAAAGAATGGCAGAAATAAAATTAAATGTGCAATGAATGATAAAGAAAATGTTGGATTGAGTTTTAA